TATATATATATATATATATATATATATATATATAGGTGCGCGACGTCGCGTATTGGGCTCGCGTGCGCCAACGGTGTTGATCTTTTTTTTCAATTGGACGTTCCCAATTCAAAAACTCTCTCTCTCCTCGAACGTATGAAATTGTCCATTTCCCGTAGCTCATACAATCACCTGACAGAGGGCAGACCTTCCCCCTCCCTCTCTCTCTCTCTCTCTATGCACTCCCTCTCTCTCACACGAAGCCACCTCTCTCTCTCTCATCCGCCCCTAGCTATTTCCACCCCACTCTCTCTCTATTTTGTATATGAAGCATGCTCTTGCGTAGGACATTTTGAATCTGAAGCACGCCCCTCTCTCTCATATGAAGTACACCCCTCTCTCTCTCTCTCTCATTTGAAGCACTTTCTTTGAGGCCATTTCAGGTATGGATTCATCCCTTGTTTTTTTTTTTTTTAAGCTGCTTCATCCATTTTGAATCTGAATCCTATTGCAGCAGGGTTTGCCATTTTTAATCTGAAGCATGAAGCATATTACAATAGGGTTTTGTTACTTTTCGAGTTCCTTGATTAATCGCACAATATTTTTATATCTGCATTTTTGGGTTTTTTGGATAAGTAATGCTTGTTTATGGTATGTAAAATTGTATGAACTCAAAATCATTTTACAAAATGAATCAGCCTTTGTTTGGGGTTTTTTTTGCCACATTTGGGGGTTTTTGGTTTTTCAGTCATTGAATGTTTTACACAAAGCAAAAAAACTACGATCACAGAAATTCTGTACAAATTAATATATTACATATTTTTTTGCCACATTTAGGGGCTTTGGTTTTTCAATAATTGAATGTGTTACACAGAGCAACAAAACTACGATCATAAAAATTATGTACAAATTAATATATCACATAAGTTTTTGCCACATTTGGGGGTTTTGGTTTTTCAGTGATTGAATGTGTTACACAGAGCAACAAAACCATGATCAGAGAAACTCTGTAGAAATTAATATATGTCAGAATGTTTTACCACCTTTGGGGGTCTTGGTTTTTCAGTGATTGAATGTGTTACACAGAGCAACAAAACTATGATCGGAGAAACTATGTAGAAATTAATATATGCCAAAACAAATTGCCACATTTCGGGGGTCTTGGTTTTTCCGTGATTGAATGTGTTACACAGAGCAACAAAACAATGATCATAAAAATTTAGTACCAATTAATATATCACATAATTTTTTGCCACATTTGAGGGTCAACTGATAAAAGTGCCATGACCCTCCATACTTAAGGGATTGTGTCTATCACATACAATGAACTGGAATTTATAGATCAAATTGGATGCCTTCTTTATGGAAATGAGTCAAACTTATGTTAATGCATGGAATTAATAATTATTCTTATAGAAATTTATCAATGGCCTCTGTTTCTTATCTGGTAGTCTGACATATATGCTATGTGTTGGTGATTCAATTAAACAATAGTTCACCATTCAAGCACTTGGGTATTCGAATGCTTCTACTGATCTATGCATGCTTTACTATCGACATGCTGTTGTACGAAAATTGTGACATGTCAAATGTCAGTTGCCCTATTATCCATGTGCCATTATAAGAACATTTTGATATGTGAAATGTTGTATGTCTTATTTGTATATTGAGATGTTGATCATGTGTATATAACTATGTTGAGTTACTTTAAGAGTTAAGTTCACATTAATAAGGGTTGTCACCCCTATTATCTACAATTGCTTTGAATATGGTTGATCCTATAATGGAAGCAATAAAATTTGAATCGATAACAAATGGGCTATCTAGTCTACTAGGAGTGTTGTTATATTTAAATAAAGGTTTGAATACATATATTTATATAGTTTGTTTTTTTATGTAGGGTCAGTTGAAAAACTTAGATGGATCACACCATTTCAGACTGTGTGTCATCTCCCACTTGCGCAATTGTTGACAACTTGGGTGACACCAATGAGGTCATGGGGCAACTTCCTTATCTTGCAACCCCTCCTAGAACGTTTACAGAAGTGCAAGATAGAGAACCAGACTCCTCAAGCAAACACTTAGAAACAAATGTACCCCGTGTAGAAATGGAGTTTTGTTCAGAAGAAGATGCAATTGACTAATATAAGGCTTATGCATTAGCCAGGTTTTCGTATCCGTAGGAGCACTACCCATAATAATAAAGGTGAAAGGATTCACAGAGAAATTATTTGTTCTAAGGCAGGATTTAGCAAAGAGAAAGAACAAGTCAATGGAACAAAACTTCCTGAATCAAGGTGTGGGTGTAAGGCTAAGCTTGGAGTCAGCAGAAAAGCAGACAACAAGTGGGTCGTGATTAGGTTTATTGATGATCACAATCATGATCTAGTCAGTCAAAGAAAAGATCGTCTAATTCGCAACCACCGAACATTGTCTAGTGCCACAATGTTGATGATAAATTCAATGAGTTTGGTAATAGTTAAGCCAACATATATTCATGACATATTCATAGAAACATATATTCATGACATATTCATAGAGGGATCGAGAATATGACATGTACACAAAATGATATCGAGAATGAAATTGCTAAGGCCAGAAGAAAACTAAGAGGAGAAGATGGTAATCTAATGAAATAATCGAATCTATATTTTTTCTATAGATTGAAATTAGATGCAAATGATCACATTCTTAGTAGATGCGACATGTAAAGTTCCATAGCAATGCTTCTCTGATGTGGTTACATTTGACAACACATACAAAACAAAGACTTTTAGTATGTCCTTTGCACCCATTCTTGGTGTAGATCACCATTTCAATACAACCTTCTTTAGATTTGCCCTCATATTTGATGAGAAGGTAGAATCATTTGTTTGGTATTTGAAAATTGGTTAGAAGCAATGGGTGGGCAACAACCGAGCGTTATTCTCACTGATCAAGACTGTGCAATTTCAGTGGCAGTAAGACAAGTTTTTGACTAGAGTGAGCATCATTCCAGATATCTTCAGGAGTTAGCCCAACAATAGAAGAATTTGGATTGGGATAGAAATTAATGATAGTGAAATATGAGTTGGAAAATAATGAATGGCTACATAGGCTTTATGGTTTCTCACATACAATGAGTGGATGCATACTTGACTAGCAGGTTCACAGCGTGTATGACTTCTACCCAAAGAAGTGAATGGATGAATAAGCATTTCAAGATGTAGTTGGCATCCAAAACTGAAGTAAAGGGATAAATAAGCATTTCAAGATGTACTTAAGATCCAAAACTAGCTTACAGACCCACCAAACTAAGCATGATTCATCCCAAACAAGC